CCTTGACAAACTATGAGACAGTTTCTAGGAAGACTATGGGATAAGGTAATACCCTCGTGCGTCGAAGGGTAGCCGAAATACCATATAAATTTTAACTACTCCTCTCCTCAAGCGAACTCTCGCCTACTGATTGAAATATATTCTTTACTAATCACAATTAACAATTCAAGTATACAGTAATCAAGAGATTAACTTCCAAAGAGATTACTAATTTATAATTTCAAAATAAAGGGATTCTAAGTTTTTATAAGTTGAAATTAGACCAAACCATTCATTAACTCTTAAATCAGAGTAAAATTAAGTTATTGAAGTATGGGATGCCTCAGATGAGTGAAAGAAATTGAAAACGGTTTAAAAACATCAAGTTTACTAAAAAAACAGAGCAATGTGTTGTGGCTTATGCACTTTGCATCACGGCTTGTTGCTCTCCATGCCACGCATCACTGCTTAGGCTCTAATGTGCCGCGGCATGTTGCACATTTTCATGATAGCATAACTGGGCAACTTTTGATATGCCTCAAATCTCTATCTAACGTCCGATTGAATCTAGGTAACTGTGAAAAGCTCTTTTCATAAACTAGCTAATAGCATGGCATCCACTTCCAACACCAATCATACTAGGAAGTTAGACACCTAAACACATTTTTATCACTTTTATAGCTTTTATAATCAAAAGAGGTGCTCAAAACCCAACACAAGTGCCAAAAGTTATTCCTAATACCTAGACCACATTCATTAGACCTAGGACTACTAATACAACACACCATATGCACTCAAATACCAATAGAGTATAAAATCACTCCTCAACCCCTTTGATCCCAAAAACAAAAGGAGAGGAAATTTCATTGCATTGCATTAAAAATGATTCACATCATGCTAAAAACAACTTTACCTATACTTACACTAGTATTTTGGCCCTATTAACATTTATAATTAATCATAATCACATCTCAAGGCCCAAAATCCATTCTAGACATCACAATAAACTATATAGTACAAGTGTAATAAAATGCATCCTATAATTGGCAATGAAATTCTATTACAAAAAATAATTAATAGTTAGAGGCCTACATTAAGAATGCACAGATTCTTAAGCCTCTGGAACTTTATCTCTCTCTGTACTAAAATTAGATCCTATAAAATGTTAAAGAAAATAGGTGAGTCTAGCCACTTAATAACTAAGGTAAACTTACCCTATGTAGTTATATATTAATTGAAATAAACACATAAGTATGAAAGGTATATTTTTCTTAAAACATGCCTTAACACATAGTTTTATATGGATCATAACACATCATTTCTCAACCAATCCTTTTTTATTTAATCACATGGTACATAGTCACAAGACACTCAGACATGTGATCATGACTCAATAAATTGATGCAACTTGCCATAACTTAATCACATAACACATCATATAATCACATAGGTAATAATCAACCATCTTTATACCTTCTTATTTCTTTCAACTAAAATCATGGGCTATAACACCAAAAAAGACTTCGTCCGTGTGACTGGATTACCTAAGCTTACCAATTGTGAGGTGTGACCCGACCAAAGATCACATGACTCACTCTTAAACCACGGCTTTCCCCACTCTCAAATCTCTAGGATATTGTATATTATAAGCTATTCTCTTCGATAAATTGGTGGAGATAGCTAGGTTTTAACCCCTAGACAAACTATAGGACAGTCTCTTGACAAAATATAGGATAAGACTATACCCCCATGCACCAAAAGGCAACCAAAATATCATATGAATTTTAACTACTCTTATCCCTAGGCAAACTCCCACCCACTGATCATGCCATGTACAATGCTCACTATTTTCACAATCTTATTATTCATTATTAACACCTTGGGCTCATATAAAATTCGCTACCCAAGTGAGCATCCAAATTATTTTCACATATATCACATAAATTCATCCATACACATTTATCCCATCACACATATCACATTTTATCATCTTAAATCATTTATATGTTCATAGTTTGAAAACTCATTTTGGTTTTAGTCTCACATTTTAAATCAACTATAATATTATGCACATTCATATCTCAAACTCTTGTTAAGACTAATAACATGCTTTCACATTGAAAATCAATTCATGCATGTAACATTCACAATTCATAACCAAGAATCAATTAATATACAACTATCTAAAGTAGGGTTCCCTGATTACCTCAAACCTTTGAGAAGTTAAATGTTTACCCCTCAATATTAAGCTTTCAAGCTTGATCTCCCAAGCTAATATGCTGCCTAATGATTCAATCTATAATTAGTCAAATTCTCAACACATAAATAATGCCAAACATACATTTTTAACTCTCATTTCCTACTTTTAAATTTCCCAATACCTATATTTTCATGTTCGAGCTTGCCCATCGGGTCTACTAACTACCTATAGCCCCCAATATAATTAATGAGCCATTAAACTCCTATTCATGACATTATTACTCCTTCAACAACCCTTATTAACATAAATTTCAGATATTAATAATGTCCACCAATCAGGGTATACAAGCTCATTATTTATAGGTTTAAATACTCTAATCTAACCCTATTAGCTCCATTTGAGTCAATTGATTCAAATCCATAGCCTATATAGACCAAAAATTATCTCTCATTATCAAACCTTAACCAAACAATTCATAAATGTGGAAGATATACGGAGAAATGGAGTTTAGGACACTTACCTTGAGTGTTCCAAGTTTCAAAATACTCCCAACATCATCCAAGTATAAACTCTAGCGGAGCTTTCAACTTGCTCTTCGTTTTTCTCTTCTTTCTTTCTTGTTTTTTGCCTCAATTCATGACTAATACTCTACATAAAAAGGTTGTGCACCGCCTGTTTTCTGTCTAAATTTGTGACTGATATTTTATAGAAAAAGGTTGTGTGCCACGGCGTACGCAGCATGTGCCATGGCGTATGACACAGAGAGGCCCTCTTTTATGTTTTCAACCTCCTTTCAATGCCTAGGTGGCCTGACTTTATTTTGAACCTATAATTAGGGCTAAAACACAACCAAAATCAATCATTAGATCTCCTTGGCCACACAATGAAGCTTAATTAGTCCCTTAGTAATTTGGTAATTAAAAAATTAAGATGTTACAAATACTCCTTGTAACCTCCTCATAATTGCCAACAGAATCCATGGGCTAACGATTAAAATAGGGTTACTTTTGTGTAAATGGACTAACCCAAACTCACTAATCATGAGGATTACTTAGGCAAAGGCACCACACTCACTCTTATACCTAGTGATAAATCTAGAAACATTTGTATGGGGGGCCAAAATGCAAAATTACATAACAGTGGGGGCCAGGAATTAATTTTAGCATTTTTTACAAGTGAAAACTAAATAATTTTAGTAAAATTTTTGTGGATAGGGGAAGGGGAGCACCCCTAAATCCATCGCTGCTCGTGCCATAGATTCTCCCATTCTCAAATTCCCAACATGTATATACTAACACTCCCAACCACTAGCAACATATCAAATCTAATGAGTTTATTAACGTCTTTAGCATGTTTCAAGATTTATTACAAGCCCAAGGACAATCTGTACACTTGCATTCGATTCTATATTTTTTTGTGTTCGTATGCATTCAAATTGAATGTTTTGTCCAAGCCTGTGACTAGCCCTTTTTTTCTCAGAACTTGGTGCTACTGCATGGTTTTGTCTTAGAAATGATTATATGTTCAATTGAAGTATTTTAGCACGTGTGACTTCAAACTGGTTTTTAGAATATTATCACCTGCAGTGGCGGACGTAGAATATTAAATTAGTGGGGGTGATTTTCTCATTGACATTAAAACGAATGTGGATTTAAATAAGGGTTGAAATTTAATTTTATTATTTATGTAAAAATATTTTTTTAAAGTATTACAAATTGGTATTCTTAATGTATAAAAAATGATCTTTCAAATATATTACAATCTGTATTTCATTTTTTATTTTTAAATTTAATTTTATTTGATTTTATTTAAGTCAATATAAATTTTAGTTTAGTCTAAAATTAATTTAATATAATTTAATAAGCATCAATATAAAATATAAAATTTTTGATATTTTTTTATCTTTCTATAATTATTATGTTTATGTATTTATAAAAGATGAATTATTTTTTTAACCAAAATTTGTATTTTATTTCCTTTTGATAGGGGTTAAGGATTATTTGTAATGTTAATTTTTTTGATTCCTTTTTCGTTTCTTTCTTGTTTTGTATTATGGGCTTTTGAACCTCTTTTTTCGACTCAAAAACATTTGTATAAAAAATTTTGTAAAATAATAATGATTTTATCATTTCATTATTTCTACATATTTTTAGTTATTATCTTCACTAGTCCTGAAAAAGGTGAGCTTATGTGCTTGACAAAAAAAAAAAAAGATAAAATTATGTGTTAATATATGGTTTTTATTAACCTTATTTTTTTAATCAATTTCACATACCTCCTCTAATTCTATTTATGATATGAGGTTAATATTCTTTTTAATTATTTAAAAAAATTAAAAAAATGAGTATGAGAAAATTAGGAAAAAAAGAGAATGAAAAAAATAAAAAATTTAAAAGTATATTTAGTACTCTCATTATTAAAATATAAAATATTTTTTAAGGTATTAAATGTTAAAAAATATAAAATATTTTTAACCTCTTAAAATATAATTATTATGTTTTTTTTAAAATGTCTTTATTAAATAAATTATTTTATATTTAACTTAATATAAAACATCCTATTAAATAAAAATAAATAAAAAATATAATTAATTTAAAAATAAATTACTATTTTATTAAAAATAAATTTAATTAAAAATATTTTATATTTATATTTTTGAATGGAAAAAAGTGTATCAAAAGTTTAACACTATTTAATATAAAAAGGTCAGGTATAAATTTATAAAATAAATTTTAGTATTTAGGGTAATTAATTTTGCTACTTTAATAATTAATTCTTAAAATTAATTATAAACCCCGATAAAACCCTAGCTCGCGAGCAGCGGATCCAGTTCTTTTAGTCGACGAACAAGCATCCCATACTCCGTCGGTCGCCGTCCACCGTTGTCAGCCCTGCGTGGTTGTTCTCGGGCAAGCAGTGAAGAAAGTTCGAATTCTAAGGCTTTTTCTTCCCAAAACCGGGTGAGATTGATTTGTTCAACCTGGTGTTTTGAATCCAGATTTGAATTTTTCCCCACGTCATCTGTTCTTGATTTGTTTTAAACTTTTCATTTTAATTTGGCTTTGAATCTGTCGTGTAATCGTTGGATATTGAAACCTTTGGATTTGGGAATATTTAAATATTGAGTTTATTTTTTTGTAGTAGTTTTTGCTTGAATGGTGTGTAATTGGCTATTATACTTCTTCCCTCTTCATTTTGATTACTAGTGACATGTATGATTTGGATTTTTATTTTCAACGTTGGATTTCTTGAGTTTTGGCATTCTGTTTGTTAATCTGTTTATATTATCATTAAATTTGGAAATTCTCAAGGTATTTGTGACGTATGATCTTGTAAATGACTTGGCTCGGGTTGTGCCACAGTATCTGGAACAAAAATTAAAAGGACATTATATCAACTATGCATATTTCAAATATTTCAGTATAGGTCCGTCTATGGTTACGCGGGCAAAAACTTTTGCCATCTCAGTAGTCCCATTTTATCGTGAGCCTAAATCAAACTGGAGTGATTCAGCTGTTTTAATTACTCTAATAATCTATATATTGAGTATTTTGAAATTTCACACTGTCAATTTTACCACTGAATTTTTGCACTTCGTTTATTCCACAGCCTGGTTTTGTGAAATATGAGTTTAATATCTCAAAATGTTGACCTTAAAAATGAGGTCAAGAAGACCAAAAGAGGGGAGACCAGTGAACTTACATATCTGGAAGAGGTGGAAGGTGTGAAAGAATCTGAGATTGATATGTTGAAAATGAAAAAGAGGAAGAAAGAGAGCAAGGAGGAGCAGTTGCAAAGGGAACAAGTGAAGGAAATGAAATCGCTAGAAAATTTTTTGTTTGGATCTCTCTACTCCCCTATTGAATTTGGAAAGGGAGACGATAGTCTGCAAGATGGGATTGCAAAGGGTTCTGATTCATTCTTCACTGACCGTTCTGCAAATAGTGTGCTATCGGCTTATGAAGATGCAGATTATTTGGAGGAAAGTGATGATGATAGGGATGCTTCACAAAGAAAACCAGCTTGGGTAGATGAAGAAGAGGAATCAACTGCTGTAAACATAGCCAAAGTTAATAGATTAAGAAAGCTGAGAAAGGAAGAGGGTGAAAGCTTGATTACTGGTTCAGAGTATGTGTCAAGATTGAGGGCACAGCATGTAAAACTCAACCCTGGAACCGACTGGGCACAGCTTGATTCAAGGTCAAAAATAGATAAATCTTCTGATGATGAATCAACAGATGAAGAAAATGAGGTTGTTGTGAGCCGTGGTTACAGGGATATTGATGATATTCTTAGAACAAATGAAGACCTGGTTGTGAAGAGCCGGTCAAAGTTGATGCCAGGACATTTGGATTACTCAAGACTCGTGGATGCAAATATACAAGATCCTTCTAATGGTCCCATAAATTCGGTCCAGTTCCATAGAAATGCCCAGCTGCTTCTTGCTGCAGGACTAGATCGGAGGCTTAGATTTTTTCAAATTGATGGCAAGCGCAACACTAAAATTCAAAGCATCTTCCTTGAGGATTGCCCTATTCGAAAAGCATCCTTCTTGCCTGATGGATCTCAGGTTATAGTATCTGGTAGACGAAAGTTTTTTATAGTTTTGATTTAGTCAAGGCTAAAGTTGATAAAATAGGCCCTCTGGTTGGTAGGGAGGAAAAGAGCTTGGAAGCTTTTGAGGTGTCCCTCGATTCTCGCATGATAGCGTTTGTGGGTAATGAAGGCTATATTTTGTTGGTTTCAACTAAGACGAAGGAATTAGTTGGTACACTAAAGATGAATGGGACAGTCCGCGCCTTAGCTTTTGCTGAAGACGGACAGCAGCTGCTGAGCACTGGTGGTGATGGCCACATCTACCACTGGGATCTTAGAACAATGACTTGCATACACAAGGGAATTGATGAAGGTTGCATAAATGGTACAGCTCTTTGCACATCGCCTGGGGGGGAACTTTTTGCAGCTAGTGGTTCAGATGGGGGGATTGTGAACATTTACAATAGAGAAGAATTCCTTGGGGGCAGGAGAAAGCCCCTGAAGGCTATTGGCAATTTGATTACCAAAGTGGATTTCATGAAATTCAATAATGATTCTCAAATACTTGCAATCTGTTCGAGTATGAAGAATAGCAGTGTAAAGTTGATACACATCCCATCTTACACAGTATTCTCCAACTGGCCGCCACCAAATAAGAACCTACACTATCCCCGTAGTATTGATTTCAGTCCTGGTGGTGGTTTTATGGCCGTGGGAAATGCTGCAGGAAGAGTTTTGTTATACAAGCTGCATCACTACCAGCATGCCTGAAGAGAATTTAAAATATATTTTATCTGACAAACATGGCATCATTTGGTAGAGGTTCTGGCGGGATTGGTCAATTTATTGGGGGATGGAATGTGTTGTATCAGCATCTGCTGCTCCTGATGGGTAATGCGGAATTGTCTTGTTGACTCAATTCATCGAAATCTGAGTTCAATAGTTTCTACTTTTTAGATTCGAAATGGTTCAAACCGGAGAAGAGATCTCCTGGGCAAAATTTTCTTCTGTTGTGTTCTATTTCGGGAATACTTTTGCTCGAGAATTTGCCATGTTAGTTGTTACTTGAGGTTAAGATAATGAAAACTGTAATCGTTTCCAATTTCTTGATGCGAGTAGTATTGTTAACTGAGAATAGGTTCGAGGAAAATGCGGAGGATTCAATTATAATGACGAGTTACACAACTTGGATATACAAACTAGGATGCGTATTTTATAATAATGTGATATTAGATGGGGTTGGAATGGGTGGTTGAAGCTCAACTCCATTATGTTCGATTGATCCAAGTTAAACAGAATGGATTTTATGGGAAGAGCTTCAACGTTTAGTATTCTGGTTTACAAGGTTAAAATTTTAAAGTTCAATAAGCAGATCGAATTTTCTTTTTGAGCATTCAAGGTAACCGCTGTTAGTTTTTTTTTTTGGGTAATATATAATTACAGACGCATACATGCGTGTACTTGCGTACAAAACAAGTGATTAATTTACTCAACATGGAATTCCAACAAGAGTAACAACAAACTTTATCTCAATAAGTAAGGTTGGTTATATAAATTGCATTACATTATTATACTCTATTATTTATTAATTTTTTATGAATGTTGTCAATTGAAATATTTCAATCAACAATTTTCACAAGTGTTCTTTTTAGCCTTCCTTCACTTTTTTTTACAAGCTTAAAATTATCCGTTTACTTTTTTAACCGGTGCCTCTTGCGATCTTATTTTATGTCATATATGCTCATTTAAAATTTTATCTTTATGTGCATGCCCGCACATTCATATCAGTATTCTAATATTTGCTACTCCAACTTTATACCCCTACCATCCCTTTAAAATCCAACATTCACGACCATATAATATAGTTGGTTTTATAGCAGTTTGATAAAACTTTCTTTTAAATTTATTAGGTACCTTTTAATCACAAATACTCATTTGGTCTTATTTATAGGGTAAAGAAAGAAGAAAAAAATTGGTTCTAATTATAATGTACTTGTCAATTTTTAATGCTCTTTCTTACATTTTCATCCTTATTAAATACTTTAAATAAAAATATTAGTGATGAGATTTAGAATATTTATTAGGGATAAAGATGAAAACTTGTTAAATTTTGAGATAAAGTTAATGAGATTTAAAGTTTTTCTTAATTTTGGTAAAACAAATTGAAAGTAACTTATAAATAGGACTAGATGAGTAACTCTTTTAACTTTTCTCCAATTAAATCATTTGGCTTGCATCATATGTGTAACATTCTCATCAATTTTTCCATCATATTAAATAATAACTCCAAATATTAAAATTTTCTACTTGAGATATAATCTACTCTCTCAATTTCATTTCCAAATTACTATTAATTGTTCTCTTGTCAAAATTACAATGTAAATACTTTGTCTTACTCTTATTCAGGTGGAAACCTTTTAACTTTAATGTCCTCCTCCAAACTCAAATTTGTAGTTAATCTCTTTTCTTATCTTCTCAATAAGAACTATATTATTTGTAAAAAACATGTATTTGAAAATTTTTTCTTGAATATGCTCAATCAAAATATCTAAGACTAGGTCAAATAAATAAAAACTTAGATTATCCTTAATGTAGTCTAATCCTTATAGAAAAGTTCTTTGTTTCACTGTCAAATATTTTTATACTAGTTGTTACCCCTCATACATATCTTGTATAGCTCTAATATGAGCAAGTAGGACTTTTTCTTTTTTAAGGCTTTTCAAAGTGCTTTTTTTAGTATACAATTATAAACTATTTTCAAATCAATGAAAACCACGTGTGAATCTTTACTTCTACATCAATACTTTTCTATTAATTCCCTTAGTAGATAAATTGTTTCCATAGTCACCTTATTTGGCATGAAGCCAAATTGATTCTCAAAAATATTGCTATCTAATCTTAATCTATGCTCAATCATTCTTTTTCACAATTTCATTGTATAACTCATAAGTTTATCTCTCTGTAGTTTGCAAAATTTTGAATATCCCTTTATTTTTGTAAATATGAATTAAGGTGCTTTTCTTCAATTCGTCAAGCATTTTTTTTGGACTGTAAGATCTTATTAAAGAACTTAGTTAGCCATTGTACTCCCTCTTCACTTAAATATTTTTACATTTCGATAGAGATACAATTACGTCTATTAGTTTTACCATTTGCTATTTTTTTAAAAGTTTTCTTTACCTTACTATTATGTATCCTTCAATAAAATAACAAGTTCTACTTTCCTTCATAAGTTACTAAATCTTCCAAGTTGCTAGATGAGCTCCTTTCATCATTAAAAAGTTTGTAACAGTATGTCTCCCATCTGTATTTAATATTACATTTGTAATCAAAACTCTTCCTTTTTTATTATTTATGTATCTCACCTGTTCCAAATCTCTTGATTTTCTTTCCCTACTCTTAACAATCTTATAAATTTTTTTTCTCCATTCTGTATCCTAAAACCTTTGTAAAACTTTTTAACTGCTTTAGAACGAGCTTCATTTATAGCTTTTTTAGTTTCCTTTTTAGTCATATGGTATCTTTCCCAATTTTCATCATTATTTCACATATAGATTACTCTAATACACTCCTTGTGTTTGACTTTTCCTTATAGATTATTATTCCATTACTAAGACTTCTTATCTCTTGGACTACAACCTTTTGACTCTCCCAAAACTTCTTTAATAAGATTCCTTATCTTCTTATATTTTCTCATAAGATGTTAGCACTTTCCTAGGACTCTCAAATTCCTTCAGCCAAAAGATTTTACTTAAAAATAACCCACTTCTCACCTTTTAACTACCACCACCAAATCCTTGAATTTACCACTTGTTGGCACTTTTGATTTTTACTCGTGATATGCATATTAAGGACAAGGATTTTGTGTTGTGTTGTTACACTAATTGTAGGAATCATCTTACAATTTTTACGTAGTCTTCTATTCACGTTCCTTGCCAAAAAGAAATCAAACTGCAACCTTAAGGCTTCAATCTTGTAGGTAATGAGATATTCATCCCTCTTCTTGAAACAGACGTCAACAATTTTGAAATCATATGTCAAAGAGAAATTAAAATAAATTATGGTTTTAGCTCCCTAAAACCAAAACCACCATGTACCCTCACATAATTACCTGTCTCCCTCCTGACATGACTATTAAAGTCTCTCCCAATAAAGATCTTTTCACTTTGTGGTATACGTTGAATCAACCCCTCTAAGTTTGCCCAAAACAATTCCTTAAGATCAACTTTTGTCCTAGTTTAAGGTGCATAAATGCTAATAATATTGACAGTTTCACGTCAAATGATCATTTTTAAGGAAATAATTTTGTCTTCAATTCTGTTAACTTCTACACATTCTTCTTTCACTTCTTATCAATAATGATACTTGCCCTATTCTATGTGCTTACTTTCTCTGTATACGAGAGTTTGAAATCTTGAATATTTTTAGCTTGTTCACCAAGCCATTTAATTTCTTGCAAGCACAAGATATTAATTTTTTTTATGAATTATAACTCCTATTACCTCTATAGATTTACAAGTCAAGGTCCCAACATTCCAAATATCAAATCTAATCTTGCTTACATAAACTAACTTCTTTAGTCGTGCTCATCTAGAATAACACAATAACACTTGCTCATTTAATACTACATTTGGCCGTTGATACAACAACTTTAACTCATTTGTCACTACAACCAAACCATACAATGCATTACTTATGGGCAATGACCTAGCATCAACACAAAAGAGTATACTGCCCATATTCATATGAGATTCAACAAAATTTTACATTGATAGTTGAGGGTCTAATGCAAAAGCGTATAGGTGAAGTTCAATGTGGAATTCAAACATTCTACTATAATAGGCATGGCAACATTGGAAAATTGAGATTGACAGAGTGCCAAAAACTATGAAAACTAGAGCAGATGGTAATCTTAGAAGAAATGTGGTTAAAAGGCTAAAACAGTGTTAACAAAAAAGAAAGGTCATTTATGCCTTTTGCTTCTTCTTCTTTTTTGGAATCTTTGATCTTCCTCTACCTTTTCTCCAGAAGTGAAAAATGATGATGGTTTGTTTTCTTTTGGTAAAGAAAGGGATACAAGTGGGAATTACTCCTTTTATCAAAACAGAGGTGTGAGATGGCATGGCCTGTGTTATCCTCATCAAGGATACTATGCAAAGGAAAGGCTGATCAGTAAAAAGATGGTTTGCTTTCTTTTATACTGTGTTCCCTTTGTAATGTCCTTGAGTATTGATAGTGTTAAGTTTCCACTAAAAAAAAAAGAGCTAGAGCAATGTTGTTTTGCCTCCACATTGTAGATTTGTAGGATAGGTCCTGAGCTTGTAAAATAGAAAGCGCTTTCACGTCGTAGGATCTTGTCCGCTCAAATAGGTCCCCAGCTTGCGATAAAAATAGAGACAAAATGGTGTGAGAGAGAGAGAGAGAGAGAGAGAGAGAGAGAGAGAGAGAGAGAGAGAGAGAGTGCAGCAATGAGAGCCTTATTTGTGCATGACTAGGTTTTTTTTTTTAATAAAAGGGCACGGGAGGATTGTGCAGGTGGTCTGAGCCCAATCTTACTCAAACCAGTCAAGCTGGGCACCGAACTGGGGTAAATCTCGCCTCAACAATGCCCGGCTCAAAAATATTTATATATTTTATTTTTTAAATTTAATTATTTTATGTTATTTCACTTAATTTTTTTATGCATTATATCATTTTTTATATTCATCATGCATACTTTTTAGTAATTTTAATTATTTAAATCTTATTAAATATTTAAAATTAATTTTTTAATTCATATCAATTAAAAATAATGAATAATTATTAATCATATACCATTTTTAAAATTATTATTTTAAATTATAACATTATTTTTATAAAAAATCCATTTTAAATAATTATAATTATATTTTTGTTAGTTAATAAATTTATTTTCATACTTTAAAATAATGAATATATACACGGGGCTGGGCATCGAGGTACTCAGGATACTTGGTAATAAATCTCAGTATCCAGGTTACTCAGGATACTTGGTGAGCAAATCCGCTCATGCAATTGTAATCATCCCGTATAAAGACCACCACAAATCCTTACCCCATTGCTATCAATTGCCCTGTCAGTATCCAGATTGG